AGAAATGCATGTAGCTCTTTTATCACCAGGATGTGGAGATGCCCTTCACCTATACATAGAAAGTAACTTGTGGTACATTCAAGCAATGGAATACTATGGAAAAATAAAAAGGAACAAACTACTAATACACGTAACATGAATAAATCTCAAATGAACTATATTCAGTAAAAAAAAAAAACAGACTCAAAAAGGCCATATGCTGTATGATCGATCCTATTCATATGCCACTCTGGGAAGAAAGAACTCTGGAGACTGAAAAAACAGTGGTTGCCAAGGTGGGAATGACAGAATTTTTTAAGGTGCTGTTTCGTAGTTGTTATATATAACCACAAGATTTCTCAAAAATTCACGGACCTGTATATTACAGAGTGTGAATTTCACGTAAATTAAATCAACTAAAAAAAGAAAGATAAAGATATAGAAAAACAATATGGAAAGAAAATAAAGACAATATATCATCATGAAGGTAACTGGTGTCCTTAAAACAGAGAATCTTCTAAATAAACAAAAAGATATTCAAAGATAAAATACAAGAAAAACTTCCCTAGATGAAGAAGTGTATCTATATTTTCAATAGAATACTATTTTCTAGATGAGAAAAAAATGATAGATTTAAAGTCAGACATATATGGTTAATCTCAAAGATAAGTAAAAACCCTTCAGATATCCAGGTAGAGTTGGAAACAAGTCAACAGAACATGTGAGATGTTCTGGGAGGGAGTGGACACCACAGTGTTTCAAGACAAAACACTATTCATAGAAAACACTATTAAGTTCTGAAGGAAATGGTATACTATTATACTGGTAAATAATGTCTCAAAAACCTAAGAGATATTTTTATATATGAAAGAAATTCAAGCTGAAATCCATGAATTCTTCAAAAAGTCCACCAGATTATAAAATTTAGCCAATTAGGAGAGGACATGAAGATGAAAAAAACTGGGAGAAGCCATGGTTAAAAAGGAATGCAATGCGCTTTCAAACTACTTAAGTGTAGAGCAGCAGTTATCACAAACACCTGGAAGGTTCATTAAAACAGAATGCTGGCCCTTAGTGTCTCCCTAACTCTCTTGGTATGCTGATGCTAGAATCCAGGGAACATGTTTTAAGAATGACTTGTTTAGTTCTAAAACTAAACACCTAGGATAATTATGGTTATAAAACACAATGGTCACATATAAAAAAATAATACAAAGAGATTCTGATAAAGGTAGCAGACTGAATATGTGAATTTACCCACACTCCCTTTAGAAATATCAATGAAATTTTTTTTAAAAAAGGGCTTTTTAAAAGGAGTAGACTTAAAATGAACAAACTTAGGAATGAACTTAAAAAAGGTCAAAGACTTCCAGATTTTTTCTCCTGTTCTTTTTGACCCTTTAAGGCATAGAAAATTGAAAATATAAGCCATCAAAGGAATGTAGAGTAGAATTCTCAAACAGATCAGGAATTGGTGGCACCAGGTAGCATCCATAACTGAGGCAGAAGGTAGGGGTAAAAATAGGATTATTAAATGCTTTTTTAAAGAGCATTTAAGACTCTCGAATTTCATTCCATTTTTTGTTCTGGCCAACTGAAGAGGATAAAGCAGAATTTCTCAAGCTAGGCATTGATATCTTGGGCCAAAAAATTCTTTGTTGCTAGGGGCCAGCCTGTGCAGTTGTAAAAGTTTAGCAGTATCTCTGGCTTTTATTTACTAGATGCTATTAGCACCTCTTACCCCAAATTGGACAACGAAAAAAAAAATGCCTGCAGACATTGCCAAATGTCCCTCGGGGGCAAAACTGTGCCCAGCTGAGAACCACTGCTGTAGAAACATGTCCTTAGATGAATCTTTTTAGCAAACTCTCCTGATGAAGAAATGTGTAACGTTTAGCAACTCGTTTACTTTTATTTTTGTTAAAACCAAGAAAAATAAGATTTAATGCTTTGTTTAAAAATACATGTTTAGCATGCTACTACCATTCCTAAAAAATATTTTTGTCCTTTCATCCATGTGTCATGTATTGACAGAGGAGTATTGGTGGTAGCATATTTTTTGTGACATTTAAAGTTTGTACTCTGCTATGCTTGATTGTTCATAGTGACTATGAATCATTTCTGCAAAACCAAGTTATTGTACTAAAAAACAAAAATCTAGCAGAGGCTGACACAAAATAGGTAGGCAGTAATCACTAGCTCTTTCTTTTTAACTAGATTATCTTGGGCAACAATAACAAAAATGATTGTTATTGTACATAAGGTCCAGTACCTCAAAAAAAAAAAAAAAACAACTCTAGTTATTAACATCATTGTTGAGATTGTGGTGGAGAAAAGCACTGAGGTAGGCATAAATTGATGGTAATGTAGTTTCAGGATTAGGTGGGAGATCCACAGATGTTTAAGTGGTCAATGTAATAACCGATCAAAGAGCACACATGAACCAAGGATTATGACCAATCTAATTCTAGGCCACTTAGCAAAAAATCTTAAAATAAAAAATTAACTCCAATCTCTATACAACAGTACTACATGTATTTTTTTCGTGTTTTCATAGTTCAGAAATTTTCTACAGCCGTTTTAACTCAGAAAAATTGACAAAAGTTGATTAGGCCTCAAGAAATCTGAGTAAAAACTAAGATTTAATTGTGGTTTAACTGTTCTAATTTAATGACCTGAATACTTTTCAAAATTTAATTGTAAATTTGTCAAAACCTTTATTTTTTTATTTTTTATAAAGCTTTTATTTATTCATGACAGAGAGAGAGAGAGGCAGAGAGAGAAGCAGGCTCCATTCAGGGAGCAAATTTGTAAAAACCTTTAAATTAGCGTATTGATCATTAAGACTGCTGAAAAAAATGGATTTGTATATTATAGGCAAAGTCCCCTTTGGTTGCTATAAAATTACACCAAAATTGAACAATTCAGGAATAGACACATAAGCACCAGGAAGGAAGGGGGGGGGATATAGACAGAATTGCATACTATAGAGTTAATTGCTTTTGTAGACTGGCCACAATAATCTAGCACGCTTAAGATCAACCTTGGCCACCTAGCCTTATCCGCCAGAGATCTAATTAGTGGAAGGTAAGAAAACGGTCTGCTTGTTACTACCTTTCCAATATACCTTGTCATTAACGATGACTAAAATGTAGTGTCAATTTTACCAGTTTTCTAGTCAATAAAGATGAAGAATTAAGTTGTAAAAACTTTAATAGGAATGTAATTTTTCCATATTGTGCACTAAAGCGATTTTCTTTCTGATTTATGATAAATATAAAAAAAATTCTTAACCCCTTCCCCCCCAATAATCGTAAAAGGGAAAAATGGTGTTCATCATGGTCCTGGAGAACAAAACTGAACAGATGAATTCTTCCTTTTATGTCTTTACTATATACAAAGAACATGCTTACTTGATAAATGGACAAAAATCTGACTTTATAAGTCACACATTTCCCCCAAAAGAAAACAATGTTTTAACATTTATAATTTTGTAATACATTTATTACACCATGCCTCTTTGTATTAAACAATAGACTCAAGTAGACTCTCGAGGTTTTTTTTTTTTTTTTTTTTTTTTTTTTTACTGAGATTAAAAATACCTGGTTTTCATGGCCAACTACAGGAAGAAATATAAACGTAATCAAGAGAATGATCTCGGTGGAAGTAACCACCTCCAGGCATCACTTTATTAACATCTAACATTTATAGTTCAAGCAATAGAACTTTCTGGAAAAAAAAAAAGAGAGCTCTGTAAAATAAAAATTCTGCGCCCTGTATATAATGGAGTCATTCGGGAAATCAGCCAAGCGTTAGACGTGGAATTTAAAAATCATAGATTAATGAGATATGATGTGAACCCAAATACCTAGCCCCGAATTACAAATAACTACTAAAACTGTCATGTTAGTATGTTGTCTACATGCGGAGGGGAGTGTGTGGATTATCTTAAATTTGCACCCCCTGAATCAAGAAACTGTACCGTTATAATGAAAAATGGTTTCACTCTGACGACGCTCTCCAAGTAAAATGCGACCTACACCCGATTAAAGGAAATTTGCGTGCTTCAGGTCAAAAGATACTGAGTACCCTCAGATGTAGGATTACTTGAGCACTACAGTCCTTTGGCGGTAGCACGAAGGCAGGGGACCCAGCAGCGCCCGCGCACTAAGGCCGGGCTGGCCCACCTGCCGGGCGTCTAAGTGTCCTCGGCTCCGCAGAACAAAGAGGCCGGCAGGCCTCGGGGGACCGCAAGCGCCGCAGCCGGAGGTCGCCGGCAACGTGACGAGGAGAGACACGGTGCTCCGCGGAAAGGGCCTAAGACGCCTGGACACGCGGCCTACGCAGACACAAGGAAAAAACCACCAACAAAAAGGGACCTGGAGGAACAGGGGAGCAGCTTTCACCAGAGACGGCGGCGGGGTGGGGGAGGGAGGCCGCAGCCCGGTCGGCTTCTCCCCTCGGGGCAACGCTCCCGTGTCCGCCGCTCCTCGCGGCCCCCGCACTCCGCTCTTCGCAACGAGCCGCGGGGCCCCGAAAGCGGCGTCGGCGCGACCGCGGGAGACAGGGAGAAAACAGGGACGGAAGGCACTCCCTGACGAGATGGGTGGAGCACCACGTTACCGACGCTCCGCACCCAGCCGGGCCCGCGTTCCCTTGTCCTTCGCCTCTTAACGCTTAAACACCGCCGCCTCCCACCCCCCCCCCCGAAGGCCACGAAAACCCTCCTTACCCAGCTCGCCACGGAGCACAGCCCCAGGACGTTCCCCATCTCCGCGGCGCCGACGGACAGGGAGCCGACCGCGACAAGATGGAGACACCACCTCTCTCCACCCAGTCGGGCCTTATTTACTATCTGCGAGCCACTTCCGGCGCAGAGCCCTCCCCGCCCCTCAGCTTTGCGTCACTTCCGTTGAGGCCTGCGTTCGGGTGTGGCGGGCGGGCGCGCCGGGAGGGTGTCGAGTAGAGATTGCGCATGCGCGTTCTTGCAGCTCGAGGCCGCGGTCCTCAGAGCGGGATGCAGGTGAGAAGCCTCTCACCTTCGCTTGATGTTTCTGAGCGGAGGCTGGCGGGTGATTTTGTCCGCCGGCCGTTAGGAGAGTTTCTCGCTACTTTTGGAGGAATGCCTTCTCTCCCAGGACCGTCCGTTCATCCAAAAACTTCTCGTTTTTTAACACTTTTGCGTCTTCCGTGCCCAGCTTACCTGCTCAGGTGCTTCCTGCAGCCTGCAGCTGGGGGCAGGTTTCCGTTCGGGTCCGCCTAGTGCCGCCTGTCACTTCTTGGTTGTGGACGACGCCTTTTAGTGTCTTGTCCCATGAAGATGTTCCGGGAAGTCGACGTGGTCAGCAAATGTGACCACAGGTGAAAAGACACCTAACACGGATCCTAGGAACGCAGACCTCGCATTGATCTGTATTGAAGGTCGGGAGCTGTTCAGGAGACGTTCGGAAATCCTTGCAGGTTAAGTGAGGATCTTTGCATCACCTCCGGGGGATGTACGCGAAGTTGCGCTCAGCGGGGATCAAAGAATTGCATTTCCCAGGGTGCGCAGCCTGAAGTAGAATCCCAAGCAGTGTTCGGATTTCAGGAGGTTGACAGGATTTTCATGGGGGGGAAAAAGAGGAAGATGGGGGTAAATCGTTTAACAGGAGAGTTCAGGGCAGCCCTGGGGGGCTCAGGGGCTGAGCACTTGCCTTGGGCCCAGGTGTGACCCCGGGGTCCCGGGATCGAGTTCCACGTCGGGCTCCCTGCGTGGAGCCTGCTTCTCCCTCTGTGTCTCTCATGAATAAATAAATAACCTCTTTAAGAAAAAAAAAAAAAAAAGATGGGCAGCTCCTCAGACCCTTTCTTTTTTTTTTTCTTTTTTTAAATTTATTTATGATACAGAGAGAGAGAAAGAGAGAGAGAGAGGCAGAGACACAGGCAGAGGGAGAAGCAGGCTCCATGCACCGGGAGCCCGACGTGGGACTCGATCCCGGGTCTCCAGGATCGCGCCCTGGGCCAAAGGCAGGCGCCAAACCGCTGCGCCACCCAGGGATCCCCTCCTCAAACCCTTTCTAAAAATAATAATAATAAAAAAATAAGGCACCTTCCCCTCAAATGGCTGCTCTGGCTCCGTTTTAAAATGGTGCTACCGAAGTCTTTTTAACAAAGATACACGATTGAAGTGGATATCCAAAGAAAAATGTTGTAGAGTTAGAAGAGTCCTTAATACAGATCAAAAAAATTTAACACTGGAAAAATTACCAAGTGGAGATAAGCTATCAGCTTAGTCTTTAACTTCTCTTTGATTGTTGATGTCATTTAGGCCCACCCCTCCTTTCAGGGTCTGCGTTTCAAATTCTGCTTTCAACATAAATTGTGAAAATACCTTTATTAAGGTACTTGACTTCGCAGAATCTCAGAATCCTTATTAGTAATATATCAACTTTTAAGAGTTGAGAGGATCAAATAATATCCGTGGTCTTAGGATCCCTGGGTGGTGCAGTGGTTTGGCCCCTGCCTTTGGCCCAGGGCGCGATCCTGGAGACCCGGGATTGAATCCCACGTCGGACTCCCGGTGCATGGAGCCTGCTTCTCCCTCTGCCTGTGTCTCTGCCTCTCTCTCTCTCTCTCTCTCTCTCTCTCTCTCTCTCTGTGACTATCATAAATAAATTAAAAAAAATAAAAAAAATATCCGTGGTCTTATCCGTTGTAGCACCATGTGAGCTCAGGGTAGACTATCAAAACAAACTTATATCCCCCAAAATCAATTGTCTTAAAGGACGAATAAAATTTATGCATAGTTTATATTGTATCATACAAGGACAGAAAGCATCTATGAAAAGTATTTTATGACTTTAATCCTAAAATAATTAAATTCTAAATGTAGTAAGCCAGGAACACACAAAATAACCTGTAGGGGTCAGTATAAACTTAGAATTGGAAGAGACCCTATCCTGATTAAAGACCTGCTTTTGTCAATTAATCTATAAAAATCAAAATATGATAAAGGTACAGACACTCTCCTGATTTATTGCCTTAGTATAAACTAGCCTGTGAACAATTTTCTTTCCACACAGGTTCTTTTTTTTCTCCCACCAAAAGTAAGCCAGTAATTCCCGTAACAACCAGATATGTCTATACCAGTGAAATAGATGAATACAAAAGTATATTTACTTCAGGCAGAGCATATATAAATTTAGGGGAAAAAAAGCAAATATTCATGTAAATAATGAAGTGAGTAGAGAATTCAAATGTTTCTAGTGTTTAAGATACTATTTTATAATCATTTAGAGTGACTACCTAAAGAAATGCTAATGAAATTTCTAAAACATTTTGCTTCTCAAGGGCAATCAGCTAAAAAAATATGTTAAGAATTTATTGACCTCACATAGTAGTTGATGAAATATAATGTTATCATATATTGAAGAACTATTAAAATCAAGGATTCATTCACCATAAAATGTTATTATGCTGTAGAAAGGAGCCAACTATTTCTATTTAGGCATTTATCAGATTTCTGAATTTTTATCAAACACGTTATTAGGGCAATGTTTAAATCATCACTTTCCAAAAAAAGATGATGTGAGCGATGTTTATAATTTAAAATTTTCTAGTAACCACATTAAAAGGAAAAAGAGGGGATCCCTGGGTGGCTCAGTGGTTTAGCGCCTGCTTTCAGCCCAGGGACTGATCCTGGGGTCCTGGGATCGAGTCCCTGCATGGAGCCCGCTTCTCCCTCTGCCTGTGTCTCTGCCTCTCCTTCTCTCTCTCTCTGTTTCTCATGAATAAATAAATAAAATCTTTAAAAATACATAAAATAAAAATAAAAAGATACAGAAAAAAATAATTTTAACAATACTTTGATACATTTAATTTAACCCAATATCATTTCGACATGACATTAATATAAAAATGATTAATGAGGGCAGCCCCGGTGGCGCAGCGATTTAGTGCCCCTGCAGCCCAGGGCGTGATCCTGGAGACCCTAGATCGAGTCCCACGTCAGGCTCTCTGTATGATGCCTGCTTCTCTCTCTGCCTGTGTCTCTGCCTCTCTCTCTCTCTCTCTCTGTTTCTATGAATAAATAAATTAAAAAAAATCTAAAAAAATGATTAATGAAATGTTTTACATTATTTTTCATGTTAAGTTTTCTAAATCTGGTTTGTATTATACAATTACAGTGAATCTCAATTCGGACTAGCCACGTTAAAAGAACTGACTAGCCCCCAAATTGAACAATGTATATCTAAGTATTGAGGGAAAAAAATGAAGCGATTAACCAGAAGACCCAGTAGAAAAGAAACATACTTTTCTTTGTATAAATTATTTAGGTATTTCAGGATAAAGTGATTTTGAGCTTGCATATTTACATCAGACATTGAATTGAGTTCATCTAATTTATTTTTGTATAAAAATCAAATCTGATAGACTGTAAGAAGGATGAATATTAAATTCTTAAAATTTTTTAGGCTAATGCTTTGATTTGGGCATAGACAGACACTGCACCACACTGTTCAGCAATCCCAAATGTTCGTCTTTAGTAAGAGAGAAAAACATAAGGAGTTGGCTAATACACAAGAATTATGCTTTATTTATTTATTTTTTAAAAGATTTATTTATTTATTTATTTATTTATTTATTTATTTATTTATTTATTTATTTAATGATCGACATAGAGAGAGAGAGAGAGGCAGAGACACAGGCAGAGGGAGAAGTAGGCTCCATGTCGGGAGCCTGACATGGGACTCGATCCCGGGACTCCAGGATCACGCCCTGGGCCGAAGGCAGGTGCTAAACCACTGAGCCACCCAGGGATCCCCAGGAATTATGCTTTAAAAGGATGTCTCACATCAAATGGATCCCAGAAGATGGACTTTTCCCATTGAATCTCCATATAGAAACACCGTTTAATTAAATGTCAATAGAGGAAAGTGTTTAGAGACATGCTGAGGTAAGGATGCCTATGCATAAATGCTACCTCCCCCCCCCCCCGCCCCAAATTAACTGTGTGACCTTGGGCCAATTTTATTTTTTGTGCTTCAGATTCCTCAACTTTAAGACGGGAGAGTACCAGTACCTTTTTCATAAAGTTGCTGTGTGGATTAAATGAAAACAAGTGAAGTGCATAGAATGGTGTCAGGCTCATGGTAAGTGCTCAATAAATATTAGTTGCTACTTCTAGATATCTGGATTACTTTTTCCTTTAATACCGTCCCCCAACCCCCATAGTTTCTTAATCTTTGAAACCCTGTGTCTGGCTCTCAGTCAAATGTTTCCATCTGATTTTCTCCTCAATAAAATTGAAGGCAGAATAGGGTAGGGGCTTCAGGCCTTGCTAAGTAAATAACCAGTAGACAAAACAGGCCCTTTGTATAATTCTTATTACCTGTTAACCTTAAAAATACAACTGCCAGTCATTTTGTCAGCAGAAGGTGGGTTCATTTAGGAATAGGAGAGAATGGCAATCCAGGACAAGCAAGCTGCAGCAAAACCATGGGCAGTTATGGAGAACAAAGGGGAGGAGTGTGTTATCAGTAGGGGAAAGTGGGGAGTTGGGAGGGACTGTTATAAACTAAAAAGTCCACTGACGTTAACTGGGAATTTGATTACAGCGGCTTTTCATTGGCTAGGCTGTTTCCAGGGAAAGAAGAAATCTTCCTTCCTCTGGCTGGGATGGTAAAGTAGTAAGAACTTGCAGGGTCCATCTGTTCTTGTTGGGTGTGCAGTTGGTAACTGGTGCTAGGTCTAAGAGCTCCCCCTGTTGGCCTCCCAACCTCATCCTAAATGAGGTTTGTTTTTTGTTGTTAAATTTTTGCTGTGACTTTACTAAAGTACGACTCCCATGCATTGTTTTGTTAAGAAAATGTTTGTTGGTTTCTTTTTAAAATCTTACCAAAGACCCCGTGTCAGGAGGAGATGAGAATTTGTAGTATTTAGAACCTATCCTGGATGCAGAGCAGTTATAGGATTGGCTGATTTAAGCACTTAAGCATGATAATTTTGAAAGAAAGAGGAATTCTCTGCACCCTCCTGACACCCTTCCAAGCATCTCTTTTTCACAAGGAGGAAAGCATTTTCCAGAGTCCCCCCCACCCCCACCTGCCACCTGCCATCAGATTCTGCTTCAACCTCAAGATCAGAATTGTCTTATATGTCTTTGCTTTAAACGATTCTTGAAAAAGGGAGTGTAGATACACCATGATAGGTATACTCATCAGTAAACCCTACATAGGGCCCAAAGAACATAGCCTTGGTTGAGACCCAAACAAAACTGAAGTTCTGTTACCAAGCCACCTCAAGTCTAGAAGCTAGCTGCTTCATTCTCAAGCAAACTTTTAAAATTCTTTTCTCTTAAAGGTTATTTATTTATTATTTATTATTTATTTTTATTATTTATTTTTATTTCATTTTTATTTATTTAGTATTCATTATTATTACTTATTTATTTATTTATTTGAGACACACACACACACACACACACACACACCACACAGAGGCAGAGACACAGGCAGAGGGAGAAGCAGGCTTCATACAGGGAGCCCGACGTGGGACTCTATCGCGGGTTCCCGGGATCACACCCTGGGCTGAAGGTAGCGCTAAACCACTGAGCCACCCAGGCTGCCCTCAAGCAAACTTCTAAAATTCAGTGTATTACTTTTCAATAATAAAAAATGTCATTTTCTATAAATAAATAGAAAATGTGAATTTTTACTCACAATAATTAGGAACTTAAGTCAGTAAGACAGTAAATTTCTTTTTTTTTCTTTTAAGATATTATTTATTTACTTATTTAGAGAAAGCAGAGGGGAGGGACAAAGGGAGAGGAAGAAAGAGAATCTCAAGCTGACTCTGCCCTGAGCTCAAGCCCAATGCAGGGCTTGATCCCAGGATCCTGAGATCATGACCTGGGGTGAAATCAAGATGCTTAACCAACTGAGCCAAGCAGGATACTAATTTTCTGTAAATACCTACCCATCTTCTTTTCTAGGAAATAGAATTCTTTTGAGAGCCAAAGCTTACTTGCTCTAATCTCATTTTTTATAGAAATTGCTGCTAGATCTGCAAGTCTTTTATATGACATTGTGCACATTGACTAGTTGTTAATAATTTTTAATTTTGAGAAGCTCTTTATTGGCAAATAATATTGTGTGAATATATTTATATATTTGCATAAATATAAATATATAGAAAAATTCTATTTTAATAATGAAAATATTTAAAGCAATAGATTTTCCCTGAATAACATTTTCCATTTCTTGTAGATACAGTATGAAAAGTCCTCCATTTCATTGTATTATATAAAAGTTATGATTTCCTTTAAAATTCCCTTTTTGATATGAATGTTTTCAGCAGTGATGGTATTTCTTAATTTCCAAATAGAAGAGACTTTTCTAAAATCATTGGCTTATGACTTTTCTAATGTCATTGGCTTATGTTATTGGTTTATTTTATTATCAGTTTGTGACCAAGCATCTGATTGGTTTTTCTAAATGTTATGCTGACATAAAAAGGAAAAACCATATTATCTTTTAGAGAAACTTAAAGACCCATAAATCTATTAAATTACGGTTATTACTTCTATTATTTAATTCCTTTGTCCTTATTTTTTATTTGCTAGATAAATCCAGTTGTAAGCAGGGTCTATTGAATCTCCCACCATAATTAAGTTTTTAACTCACTTTGTCTTGCATTTCTCATGGTATTTACTTTGTTTTTAGTTATTTCTTTGATGTATTCAAGTTACGATTATGTTAGCTTTCTCAATTATAACTTTTATTAACACTGAATCCTTCTTCATTCTACTGTGTTGTACCTTAATATTCACCTTCCCTGGTATTTATATAACTATTCCTACTTTCTCATGATTTGCTTTACATGATATCATTTGCTGTTATAACTGAAGCAATCAGCATTGTTACACTTCTCTCATCCTCTTGTCTCAGCTTTTGTTATTTTGCTATTTCTAAGGCATGAGGGCATTTATGTTCTCTTCTGACCCCCTCAGCTGTGTGTTTATTTTGATATTAGTTCTATCGTAAAATATAGTCAGTGTTCACTTCCAATATTTTGCTGTAGTTTCTTAAGTTATCTTTTAGTTAACGAGGTTCTGTTTTGTGGATTCCCCAAAAAAGGACTCAAGAAAACAAGATTCCTTGAGTTCTTGCTTCTTTAATTTTTTTTTTTTGCCTGTGTATACTAGATTGCCAAGAAATAAAATTACTAGATCACCTCTCTTTGTAAGGAATTTTTTTAGATCATCTCTCTTTGTAAGGGATTTTTTTTTTAGGTGTGTATCATCAATTGTCTTTTTTTTTTTTTTTTTTAGTTAAGTGTTTCTGTCTCTACAGAAGTCTGAACTCAGTCTGATATTTTTCCTCTTATGAGTAACCTAATCTTTTCAACCATCATATCCATAACTTCATTAGAATACCTTGGTATTGAACATTCTGAGTCAAGTTTCTCTGGAGCATGGGGAACCCTTTCAAAGGTAAATTCAGATTTAATTTTTTCAAAAAAGTTGTCTTGAATTAGAATCTCAAATTATTTGCTTATTTCCATTATTTTATTTTTCTTCTATAGGAACATCAATGATTTATAGATTGGCTCTCTTGACTGTCTTCCATACATACTATCTTCTTCCTAACCTTTTTAAACTCTTTTATGTTGTTCATCTTCTCTCACTTACTTTCTCACCTCTGCTACTAACATTTCTTTCTTCCTATTATTTCCTCATTCCTTCTCCGAGTTCTTTTATCTATCTTTGCTTTGATCTATTGCTTCATAGAAGTCAGTTTGCTTCTTTAAGGTTGTGGTTGACTATTTTATTCTTTGTGGTATTGTTTTTCTGGTTTATGATCATCATTGGCTACTTCTTTTTCTTCTCTTTTTCTCTTCATGCATGATAATATTCTTATATAGATCCTATGCTTATAATATTTTAATTTCTCATCTTTAAATGAGTTTTGTTCTGGACTTGGTAAATAAAGGAGATTCATGTGGAGAAATGGCCAGCACCATGTTCCACCCTATCTAAAATTTTCTTTTGACCTAATATTTTTCTGGGAGGAGAGCAGGAGGGATGTTATTTATATTTTATTTCTCCTTAGTGGAAATTGTTCCTATCCCCTATTGCCCCGTAACATTTCTTTTTTAATTTTCTTCTGTTTTCTTTTTTCTTTAGCTACTATTTTTTTTTTTTAACTTTAGCTACTACTGTCTTCATATACGAATTTATTTTCATGATCTCCAGATCAGACCCTCTGGTTTTCATACCCAAACCCGGCCCAGAGAAACATTATAACCATTGTCTACTATTGGTTTTCAACATTGCAAATAAGGAAGTTAGTTTTTCACATAAAAGTGTGCCCTCTTCCAATGAGAATTGGATTTTGCTGGTTCTTTTGGAGATCTACAGCCAAGGCATCCTCCCTGCTTCCTCTTGAATATATCCCCATCTCTTCTACAGTAATTTTTGTCAACCTTTTCTTCAGTTTCACCTAGGACTCAGCTGTCCCAAGATTTTGCTTTGAAAATGAGATTGTATTTTGTTTTTCTTCCTCCTCATTCTATTTGGATGACTTCCAGGAATAGAATAAGTAAAATGCCAACTTCCATCTTGGAACTGGAAGTTCCACTGTTGTGACTTGCATTTTATTTTATGCTTACGTCACTCCACACTGCTTGGAGTTTACCCAACATGCAGTGAACTTTTTTATCCTTCTGTCTTTGCTTTGGTATGTATTTCTACCTGAAATATTCCCAGCCCCATTTCTCATAAATGCTTTTATCTAGCTGATACCAATTTATCAGCTAATCCTCAGGTGCAACTCCTACAAATCTCCCTAACAGCCTCTCCTTTCCTTGGCTAATTTCTAACATTAAGTATGATGATTTATCTACTCTCTATGTGGCCTGAGCAGTTTTGCATGCCTACATTTATCTTATTGTTACCTGCATTACTTGCTATTCTGTTGTGTTTTTATCTCCCATCCATACTAGGCTTCCTGAGAACAGTGGCTGTTTTAGGCATTTTTGTATCCTCAGGCTAAAAAGAAATGTTAGGCCTGCAATAAGCAATTAATAAACCTAGTTGAATGAGTAAATACACAGGGTATTTGGAGAGAAAACTCTCAAAATATGTGATCAGTAACATTCATGAGCATGAAAGAGTGTATTCATTTAGAATTTAGTTTTTTTTTAAGATTTTATTTATTCATGAGAGGCATACAGAGGGGGAGACAGGGAGAAGCAAGCTCCCCTTGGGGAGCTCAATGTGGGACTCAATCCCGATCCCCCATATCCTGGGATCACACCTTGAGCCAAAGGTAGACACTCAAACACTGAGCCACCCAGGCATCCCTAGAATTTAGTTTTTAAAACATTTATAAATAATTACATTTATAGATATAACTATAAAAATTAGCAATTCAGCTCAGGCAATATCGTTTTGTGTGAATGAGATTACAGTGAGTCAATCTATTCATTTCTCAGAGATTTCCATAGCAAGTTTGCTATTCAAGTGGAAATGTAATTTTTGTTTCTTCTAGTAACCCACAATCCACCTGCGATCTGTCAGCAAGTAATGCTATTTCTGTTTTTAGCATCCTCATCAGTAATAATTATTGCAATTGCATCTTAGCTGACGATTCTCATTCTGCAGTGTAAGAGAAACATTCTATTATTCTTTCTGCAATATATAACTGGAAAAGTTAGCCTTTTAGTAATATAAAAAAGTATTACTTTCATGTAATCTAACATCAGATATCTTAATGTCAAGTTTAAGGGTATATTACTTCACCTTTAACTCCTTAGGAAATATATGCCTGACATTTAGCAATATAAACCTAACATATGTCTTTCTCGGTTATGCATGAACATAACCGCACTGAACTTGTTTTTTTTTTTTTAAGATTTTATTTATTTATTCATGAGAGACACAGAGAGAGAGAGAGAGGCAGACGCACAGGCAGAGGGAGAAGCCGGCTCCATGCAGGGAGCCTGACGTGGGACTCCATCCCGGGACTACAGGATCACACCCTGGACCAAAGGCAGGCGCTAAAGCACTGAGCAACCCAGGGAGCCCCTGAACTTGGTTTTTAAACTATTCTATAAGACTTTTTAAAAAAAGATTTTATTTATTTACTTGAGAGAGAGAGAGAGAGAGAGAGAGAGAGCACAAACAGGGAGGGCAGCAAGCAGAGGGAGAGGGAGAAGCAGGCTCCCCGAGGAGCAAGGAGCCCAAAGGGCTGGATCCCAGGACTCCAGGATCACGACCTGCACCAAAGGCAGACGCTTAACCAACTGAACCACCCAGGTGCCCCTATAAATGAAGACACATATGAAAGAACATCATATAATATTTTTTTCTTTTCTGTTTTGAAGAGAAGGTAGTACTAAATAGACTATATACTATAAACAGTAACTATAAAAGAGCACATTTTATTGTTCAACCACCCCCCCATATAATAAAATAATTTAAATTCATATTTATTGTTAGGAATAATCAAAATTATGTTGTATGATAATTAGTTATAAGTGACAATTTCTAATCTATTCACAGATACTTTCTCTATTTGTGTGGTTATGAATAGAAGGTAAATCTGTGAGTGTTTTATATTATGTTTGATTAAGTATACCTGGTGTCCACATAGGAGTATCAGTATATATGCTAGAGAATATATTTCTAGCTCTCATTTCTAGAAAAAGGTTCAACAAAGAAATGAGTTAAAGCTTCTACTATGACATAAAATCTATACCTTTATTAAACTGCCCCAACAATTTATTGTTATTTTTAAACAATGCCAGCTCTGCTATCCCTCAAGGAGCCTTGGTTAAATAAACTGCTTAACCTCATGTTGTTCAAATATCTTTATCATGTTTGTTCAAATATACAATTTGTGTATGGTGTGAGTTGGTAGTTTTGGTACAATTCTGAGAGGGAGAAGGAGACAGTGACAAATATGTCATGAAATTCCCAGAAGTGAAACAAATGGAAAACGTTAGAGATGGGATACAGTCATCAAGAATAAACAAAGGCCACTACATTTATCATGAAATTCAAGTAATCATTCAAATCTGTAATATTGTAGACTTAGAAAATTGTCATCAAGGTTCAAAATAAAATTTAAGGAAACTGTGAGCACTTTGGTAGAAGTCTTCAGTAGTAAAATTGCTACTACTTTGGTATCCTTCATGTGTATATATTATCTTGCTTAGTCATGAGGAAATCTAGTGATGGTTGAGAGTTCAGTATCTTTGGCAAATTACTTAAACAGTTTTGCCTTAGTTCTCTCATCTGTGAAATTGGGATAATTATAGTATCTACTTTTTTTCTTCTAGTTTTACTGAGAAATAATTGACATACATCACTATACAAGTTTAAGACCTACAGCATGATGATTTGATTTACATATATTGTGAAACGATTACCATAATAGGTTCAGCTGACATCCATCATCTCATTTAGGTACAGTATAAAGGAAAGAAATAAGAAAAAAAAATTCTCTTTTTGTTGAGAACTCTTAGAATTTACTCTCTTAACAACATTCCTACATATCATACAGCAGTGTTAGCCACAGTCATCATGTTGTACATCACACCTGTAGTACTTATTTATAATTGGAAGTCTGTACCTTTTGACTGGCTTCTTCCAATTCCTCCTCCCCCAACCCTTTGCCTCTGGTAACTGCAAGTCAGATCTCATAGAAACTCTATGAGTTTGGTGTGGTGGAGTTATTTTGGGTTTTTTTAGGTTCCATGTAAGTAAAAACGTACAGTATTCGTTTTTCTCTGTTTTATGTCTATTAGCATAATGCCTTCAAGATCCAAGCTTTGTTGCTTATGTTATGGATGTCATATCCAAAATATCATTACCAAGACCCATCTCAAGAAGATTTATTCCTATGTTTTCTTCTAGTAATTTCATGCTGTTAGGTTTTGCATTTAAGTCTTTAATTCATATCAAGTTCATTTTTGTGAATAGTATAAGATAGAATCTAGTTTCAGTTTTTTTTACATGGAATATCCAGTTATTCCAGAAAAATTTATTGAAAAGACTATGTTTTCTCTATTGAATATTCTTGGCTTCCTTGTCAAATATTAGTTGGCCACATATGCTTGGGTTTTATTTCTGTGTTCTCAGTTCTGTTCCATTTGATATGTCTATTTTTATGACATAACTATACTGGTTTAATTACAATAGCTTTAGTATAGCTTGAAATCAGGAAGTATGATGCCTCCTGCTTTGTTCATCTTTCTCTGGACTTCTTTGGCTATTCAGGATCTTTTGAGATTCCACATAATTTTAAAAGTGTTTTTTTTTTTCTAATTCTGTAAAAAAATGCCATTGGAGTCTTGATAGTTATTACATTGAATCTATAGATGGCTCTCGGTAGAACTGACCTTTTAACAATATTAATGCTTCCGATTCATGAACATAGCATAGCTTTCCATTTATTTGTCTTCTATTTCTTTCACCAATATCTCTTG